CTGCCGCCATGCCATCCTCCGTGACTGCTGGCTCCGGCCTCTGCCCCCGAGTCCAGCCCTCCACCTCTGCCCCTGTCGGCCAGGGCAGCTGAGGACACAGGCTCTTCCTGTCCCAGCCCCTCCCAGCTCCATCCAGGTGCCCTTCGCAGGGGCTGGGGTGCAGCAGGGCAGGGTCCCAAACACCATCCCCGGCTAAGACCCCCCCACCGCCTCCCCCTGCACTCCCAGAAGCCCATGTCCCCCTGGGTGGTTTCTCAATGGTGCCAAGTCCCTTTCCTGTCCTGCCCCCAGCTGCTGGGGCCCGGCCGGCTCTCAGGTAGCCCAGGAGAAAACCTGCTCTGAAAGGGACCTCAGGGGGGGCTGAGGGGGTGGGGGGGGCGGTTCAGAGGTCGATGTGACATCAGGCAAAGCCTCCCCCCGGCCACATCCGCATCCTCCTTGGCCGCCAGCGGCTTCTATCTGAGATCTGGTCCCTCCAAGGCCACCCTCTGAAGATTCATGTCAAGGTCCAGAGGTCAGGGTGCTGTGAGGACAGAGCACAGGGCATCCTGCCAGCCTGACGTTTCTCCCTGGGGACGGTCAGAGCAGGCGAGGGAGAGAGGAAGGGGCAGGAACCCGCCCGCGGTCTCCCCATTTGGCCCCCTCCTTGCTTCCAGAAGCACCTGGGGCCTGCCCTCCTCCCCCCCGCTCCAGGCCATGACGATTCTGCCATTGATCATGCTGGCTCTGGCGACAGGTACGGTGGGCGTTGGGGAAGGGCAGGGGGCCTCCCTCTCAAACCTCCAGCGTCCCCCAACCCTCTGCGTCGAGAATAACCCAGAGGGGGCATCGGAAGGGATCTGTGAGCCAGAATGAGGCCCTGGAGGTCCTTGGCCGCAGCAGGTGTTAGAGCAGTGACGGCGAACCTTCTGAGCTCGGCGTGTCAGCATTTTGAAAAACCCTAACTTAACTCTGGTGCCGTGTCGCATAGAGAAATTGTTTGATCTTTGCAACCACAGTAAAACGAAAGGTTTATATGTTTGATACTTATTTTATATATTTAAATGCCATTTAACAAAGAAAAATCAACAAAAAAAATGAGTTCGCGTGTCACCTCTGACACGCATGTCATAGGTTCGCCATCACTGTCCTAGTCT